TGGGGTCCATGTACACGGTCACATCTCTGGACAATCAGCCGCTGCTGGCACGGCCCATCAAGGGCTTTGCTGTGGTGGAGGTAACAGCCTGGAGCCAGGGCAGGAGGCCTCGGGGGGTTCTGGAAGGATAGACTCATTCTAGTGGCTGGTTTTGTTTTGTGGGGGCAGGATAGGTGTGTGTCCAGGAGCTGTGAGACCAGGCAGGCAGAGATCTCAGCTTGGATGGGTTGGCTGAGGAACACACAGCTCCATTCTGCACTGCCTCTGCCACTCACACCCCCAGAACACTCAGTGGCTCAGGGAGCAGAGGGGACCTAGTGCTGGAGTCAGCAAGTTAAACTTGTAGACCAGATGTCTTGTTCCATGTTGCAGCCTCTGGAGCTCCTTGTCACTGGGAGCTGTGAAAGCCAAGAGCGTAAATGAATTCCTAAGGGCTTAAATTCCTGGAGGATGTGCAAATTAGGATCTGTTAAGCTCAGCATTCAGTGCAGCTTTCAGCTTAGGAAAGCTTTAAACTGCTGATTTATGGAGGCTGAGCGAATATGTGCAGGGAAAGATCATTGATTTCTCTTGATTTCCTCTTCCCTGTGACTCCCCTCAAAGGTTTGCTGCTGGCCCTGCTGAGCTGAGTGTAGAGTTGGGTGCCCTTTGGTCTGACCCACAAGGCAATTAGTTAATGTTTAATGACTAACTCACATATTTGAAACCATCTGTGGATTCCTCTGTGAAGCCACTTCAGAAGAGATGATAAATTTTGTCGCTGTCTGGTCCCAGATGAATTTTGAAGGCCTCGTGGGTGGTTGCCATCGATGCCAGATCTCTCCAGGTGTTCAGACATGCACAGGAGCCTTCCTCTGTGTCCTTCCACCGACTGCAGGCTGCAGATTTGCCAGCACCTTCCAAAAGCACAGCCATTCTTGTTTGCCTGTGAATGGAGAGAGATGTTTTGTGTAGTCTGGGATTGTTTCAGCTTCCCTTTCAGCAGAAAATCAGCTGCTTCAGATCTGCAGTTGCTATTCTTGAGCTGTTAATTGACATGAAGACACCAGAGTTGAAATAATTAGGCACAGAAATCTGCCAGTGTGTTCACATGGAAACTACTCTGAGTCTGGAGCTGCTCTGGTGGTGCTGCATGGTGGTTATTCTGGGAATGAAAGGAAGTTATTGTTCCTCTTCCCAGGCTGTGGCTGAGGCTTCAAGGCCTGTGCTGATTGAGATTTTTCTGAGTGAGGATTGAAGCACAAGTAATGACATGTTACCTGAGTGACACCTTCAGCTTCTTCCCTCGTGTTTCTGGGGGTTGTGTGCAGACCAAGACATGGGGCAGCTGTGCCTGAGTAGCTCACAGCGTGGGGATTGCAGTGTCCAGGATGTTCTTGAGGCTGAACATGAGTTCTGGTGTCCAATTAGTGATGTAGAAGAGTTAGAAGAGATGCACTAGTGATTTATTTCTATGGGGAGAGCAATATTTAAGACCCAAATGGATATTAAGGGAATTCCTATTAAATAATTTCATTCTTTGCACAGATAAGGTCAAGAGCTAAGATAGAGAAAATCCGAGCCAGCCTGTTCAACAGCAGTGACCTCATTGGCTTGTCCAGCCTGGATGGGGAGGATGAACTCATGGAGATGTCAACTGAGGAGATTCTGACTGTTTCCACTGTCAATCAGAGCTTATTTGACACCCAGGGCAGCCCAGCACTAGAGGATTATTTCAATGATAAGTCAATAAAAGGTAGGTAGGAGGCAAATCTCTCACTTGTGTTGGGACACAAAGGGCTCAGGTTCTCCTTGGTTCAGTAGGACTCACTCATGGGTGGGTGACAAGAGGGAGGCAGGGAGGGATTCAGAGCAAATTTCTGGCCTCCAGCAGCAACCTGAGCGTTGCTCAGCTGTGCTCACAGCTAATCATGCAACAGATTACAAATAAAGAGAGAAAGCAACCCACAAAAGCTACTGATTGAATTATTTAGGGACATTTCTTTGTAGAAAATAGCTTCTGCAATAGTATAGCAGCATAATTTTAGGGTAGAAACTGTTCAAGTAGAACAGGTTTTAGTTTATATTCACTAACACCATGAAAGCTCCACCTGGAATGGAGCAGAATCCTGAGTCAGGGGAGGATAAGACTGGAGGGAAGTTCAGCTGACTCTTAGTTCAATGGATATGTGCTCACAGCATAACTTCTACACTGGGATCACAAATAATCTACTTTTTTCAGTCCCTCTGTGGTCACTCAACTAACAATTACAGTATGTGGCCAACACACCCTGGAGGTGTGTAAGGAGAGACTGGAGGTGGCACTCAGTGCCATGGTCTAGTTGACTTGGTGGTGTTAGGTCAAAGGTTGGACTTGAGGAGCTCAGAGATATTTTCCAGCCTGATTGACTCTGTGGTTGTGTGCAAACAGAAGTCATTCAGTTCCCTGCCATAAATGGGGTGTTGGAGTGCAGAAGGCTCAGGTTTCTCTCTGCAAAAGTGATTTTCTATCTCAAATCAGGTGTCATGTGAGGGAATGTTTTATCTGAATTCAAGATGTTTCTTCACATTCCAAGTTCTAAACAGTTGCCTTGGGATTTTGTACCATATTTTGGGGTTTTTTTAACTAGGTGAAAAATTGGTCCCAGGTGCTCGGGAAGTCCTCACTGAGATCTTTAAAAGCTGTGTCCATTCGGAGCAAATGCTGAGCCTGACCCCAGCAAAGCCCATCAAGGTGGCAGACATCTACCTCAGCAAGGAGCAGATCAACTCTCAGACCCCTGGGAACCTTCTCCACGTGTTCTTCACCAACGTTCGCCCTCCCAAGAAGGTGCTGGAGGACCAGCTCACCCAGGTAGGCTTTGAAAGCTGCTCTCAGCACCTCTGTGTCCCTTGAAGGCATTGGGTAATTGTTGACTTTGTCTTGGAAGATTTTAAGGAAATATGGTGTGCCCAAGCCCAAGTTTGACAAGAGCAAGTACAACAAGGCAGGGAAGGAGCAGCACCCGGTGAAGGTGGTGAGCACCAAGCGCCCGGTCACCAAACCTCCTGCGAAGGAGAAGTCCATGCTCAACAGTGTCAGGTTGGTGTTTTCAGCCTTTTGGCATGTGTGAAATGTGATAGCTCTCTAGAAATCCAGAGTTTTACTCCCTCTCCCTCTGTGTTTTCGTGCATGGATTGGAAGGGGGAAATGAGACTGAGCTTATAAAAGACCTTCAAGGAGTGTTTTGGTTTCTTGAGTCGAAGGGAAGGTTGGACAGGGTTTGGAGCAGCCTGGGCTGGTGGAAGGTGCCATGGCAGGAGGTGGAATGAGATGAGCTTTAAGGTCCTAACCCAAAGCATTCCATGATTCTGTGAAGAGCTGACAGGAAACTCTGATCCTAACACACACTTTGTCCCTCAGCCGAACAGCCTTAAGTGAGAAGAAACCTACTGTAAAGCCAAAATCTCCTGAGAAGAGCAAACCCGAGGAGAAGGACCCTGAAAAGTCTCCCACAAAGAAACAGGATGGTAAGAGCTGGAGAGAACTTTTATGTACTCTTACAGAGTAGAAAACAAGCACTTTTTTCATTGGCACATTGGTATCACATGAGGATAGGTTTGGGTTGTCTTTGAACAGTGATTTAAAATGCTGGTTTTGTTTGAATCTCTGTCTGGGCTCATCTCTGAGTCAAACCATGCTCATGCAGGTCAGCACTCCCACAGTGGGAGTACCTCAAGTAGAGAACTTCCCAAGAGGTGCAGTTTCAAGGCTCTTGTCCGGTGAGGTTGAACCAAATGGTTTTAAATCCTGTTTCTCAGTTTATATCAGAACATTCTTAAGTTACAAGAGGCAAATTGGACAGAAGAGAAGGTTGAGGTACCTCATAATGAGGTGTTTCCATGGAGGAGACAGCATGGTGTGCCATGACAGGAGTTATGGTTGGTAGTGTTTTCTCTGGTCAGGTGGAAGAGTGAACAGATGTGAGCTTGGACTCTGCTCTTCCCTGTAGGAAATGCAGGTTAGCTTAGGAGAAAGGAATTTCAGCATTCAGCCAAGTATGGATCTTTGATACCTGGTGGGATGGAGCTATTCCAGGGGGTAGCTGGGGGATCTGTGTCCTTGAGAGGAGGGAGCTGAGGGCCAGGTTGGACCTGAGCGGTGTGATGGTCCCACCTGCTGCAGGAAGGATCCATGGTGGGATGGGGGGAACCAGGAGAAGACTGGCAGGAGCCAACTCATCCTCCTGTGTGGGGTGTACACTTCAGAGCAAGTCATTAACTCCCTGCTGCTTGTGTCTTTGCTGGCAGTTCCTGAGGAGAAGTATCTGACCCTGGATGGGTTCCACAGGTTCGTGGTTGACCGATCCAAGCAGGACATCCGCAGTGTGTGGAGAGCTATTCTCTCCTGTGGCTATGATCTGCATTTTGAAAGGTACATCCTGCAAACCTCTTTGTAAAGGTCATGCTGATTAACTGTGCTGACTTGAAAAAATATTTCATCCCAAGTGTTCCTGCTCCAGGTAGTTTTTTTAAGCAGCTTGTGGTAACACTCAGACTTCTCTCCGTGGCTGCAAGGACTGTAGAGAAAACTGTTTATCATCCCAAGTGTTCCTGCTCCAGGTAGTTTTTTAAGCAGCTTGTGGTAACACTCAGACTTCTCTCTGTGGCTGCAAGGACTATAGAGAAAACTGTTTGGTTCCCTAAAACAAGCTTTAAAGGAGTAACTGTGTCCAGGTGCAGGTTCCTGACTTCTTGGACACAGCATAACTAACAAAACCAACTGCCACAGTCCTCTGTAGCTTCCAAACTGTCCAGTGGAGTGTCCTGAAGAGAACTGCAGATCCCTTTGGCTGTCTCTGGTTTCCTTCCACAACCAGTGCCCTGGGTGATGGTTTAACTGGCAGCATTGTTACTGGGTCAGAAATGATGTACAAGAGGGAACAGTTAATTTCTTCTCGATATTGGTCAGGAAGAAAGTCCCTGAAGTGAATTCTCCTTATCTCCCTGTGTCAGGCCACAAGCTCATTGCCAATGCCCTTCCCTATGTCTTCAGAGGAGATGTGCACTGAGCAAGCTTAATAGGCAGTTGCTTAATGCCTAATTATTTAATTGCAGTGAGGCAAAGTGGGTGATAAATCACTCCTGGTCCTCAGCCTGTCATGACACAGCTCTGCTGAAGCAACAGGGAGAGAAGAGCCACCACACGAGGTGGTTTGTCCTACCATACTCCCTTAGTGAGCAGAGCTGAAAACTGCTTGGGTGGAAGGAACTTGAGGTTCCAAGAGGTCTTACAGCCCTCCCCTCCCTCTCAGGTGTGCCTGCATCGATGCCAGGCACGCTCAGAAGGCCTCGCGCAAGTGGACCCTGGAGATGGATGTGGCCCTTGTCCAGTACATCAACAGGCTCTGTCGTCACCTGGCCATCACTCCGGCACGGCTCCATCCCCACGAGGTGTATCTGGATCCAGCTGATGCAGCAGATCCCAGAATTTCCTGTCTCTTGAGTATGTATGGGTGTTTGCATAGAGGTTCTTGTCAGGGGAGGAGTTGGGTAGTGCTCCTGAACAACCCACGTTGGAGCCTTGGTGGGCCAAGGGGACAATGTGTCTGGGTCTTCTTCCCTTGAGTGTGCTTGGGCAAAGTTAGGAGTGCACTCCAAGTGCTCCCTGCTCTCCTAGGTCCAGAACCCCTAGGTCAGAACCCCTAGGTCAGAACCCCTAGGTCAGGCTGGAGCAGGAAATGCCTGGTGAGTTTAGCTCCCAGGGCAAGGAAGGCACTGTTTCCATTCTGGACCTAGGCAGACTTCAGTCATTTAAGTCCTGTTCCCTTACACAACTGAGGGAAGGACTGAGGTCCTTTAAGAGGGTCTCCACATAATGCAGATTCCATGATGATGAAAGATTCTGGACTCAGACACCCATAAACTCAAGGTCCAAGAAGGAACATCACAGATCGTGGCTGTTCTTTCATCCTCAGCTTGCTGGATCAGGAGGAGCTGCTTTAGTAGGAGTTTGTGTTGCTTCTGGACCAAATCTACTGCAAGGTGAACTTTGCAGTAGGTAGAGAATCCCTTTCTGTCTCTGACTGCTGTTCCCACCCCAGATGTTCCCGTGGAAAGCCTTCGGCTCCGG